CGATTGACGATTGTGTTACCTGTAAATACCAATGATATATATCTTCCGAGTTTGATTTGCCGCTTTACAGGTTTACCCAATATGCAAATGCTTGGGCCACCAAACCGGCCAACTTTGGCTAGGCAGACAGCCGTTCGCACCGCAACACTTATTAACTAATTAAAGAACTGGCCGAATGGGGCCAGACAGAATGCTGTTCTTTGGCTTAAAGAGGTTAAAGTTGCTCAGGCGGCTTTTTGTTTTCTTCTTTTTATATCTCTTTTTTTTTTTTTTTTTTACCAAATGTGGAATGCTTCCGGCTTTTGTGTGAGAGACGGAAATTGTGCTCGCTGAAAGCTGCAATATTTAAATGGGGTTTATTTTGTTGGCCAGCCGAGAAATTTCATAGCATACTGGCTGCTGGCCGGCATTGCTGTGGCTATTGAACTGTTGCTGATAGTTCTATATATATGTATATGTATATTGATTCATAGAGTTATAAATTTCTTTTACTACTTTCACTACAGAAAGAAAAAGCCCCGCTTGAGTCGCCGCCCACGTTTAAATGGAATTTGAACTAGAATTTCAGGTATGCAACTCGTGCTGGGTGGCCATCAAAGTTTCGATTAAGGCAAGCTGAGTTGGCCTAATGATTGTCTAATTATATGTGGGTTAACAACATTTTTACTTAATAAGTCTATATACAAACTCATATATTGTATAATTAGCTATATATGTATTTTCATTAGTTTTGACGAGCTTAGGAAAAGCACATCGCAGAGCGCAGCTAATTTGATGGCCAGGCGCGCCGCCAACTATAATTATAACATAATTTTAATTGGTGTCGGCGTCAACACAGCCAGAGCCACAAAGATTAATTGTGTAATTCCAGACGAACTTGGCCGAGCTACTGCTGCTGCTGCTGTTGCTGCTGGCAGCAATCTCAAAGATATACAGCGCGCACGCTGGCTGCAGCTGATGGCCATTGCACTCGCATATTATGTAATTATAACTGTTTACAGGTGTATGCTGTCTATACGTGTGTGTGGGAGAGAATTTATGCATGTGTGTGCGTGCTGCTGCTGCAATAAGTCTTAAATTCCTAGTCAAAAGTGAAACATTTATAAATGCACTGCAATTTGTATCTGTTCCGCAGCTGGGAAGCTGCTGCTGCTGTTGCTGTTGTTATTGTTGTTGATGCTGTTGTTGCTGCTGCTGGTTATTTCTGCTGCTGATGCTAATATTGTATTTGCTGTTGCTGTTCTTATTGCTGATGCTCTTACTGCTGCTCCCAGTGTTGTTGTTGCAGATGGTTCTGCTGCTGATGGTGGTGCTGCTCTTGTTGAAAATGCTGCTGTTGCTGCTGTTACTAATATTGCTGTTGCTGTTGTTGCTGTTACTACGGCTGTTGCTGATGCTGGTGCTGTTGATGCTGTTGCTGTTGCTCCTGTTGTTGCTCTTTCTGTTCTTGTTGTTACTGTCCCTGGTGTTGCTTCTGTTGCTGTTGCAGCTACAGCTGTTGTTGCTGCTGCTATTGCTGCTGCTTCTGCTGTTGCTGCTGCTGCTGTTGATGTTGCTGCTGTTGCTGCTGCTGCTGTTGATGTTGCTTCTACTGTTGCTGCTGCTACTGCTGTTGTTGCTGCTGCTGCTGTAGCTGCTGCTGCTGTTGCTGCTGCTGTTGATGTTGCTGCTGCTATTGATGTTGCTGCTGCTGCTGTTGATGTTGCTGCTGCTATTGATGTTGCTGCTGCTGCTGCTATTGCTGCTATTGATGTTGCTGCTATTGATGCTGCAGCTATTGATGCTGTTGCTATTGCTGCTACCATTGCTGCTGCTACTATTGCTGTTAATTTTTCTCGCATTTCATTAGATCGCTAAATTAGCTATGCTATGACGTGAGCTCATATCATTAGGCAGGCCGCCACACTCCTCTCCCCTTCTGCACAAACTGTGTCACGTGAGCTGCTGTCGCTGCCGCCGCTGCTGCTGCATGGAAATCCGGTTGAGCGGAACTCGCACCAAATGGTCGCCTCTAGTCTCACATACATTTTTTTTCCATCTCTCTCGCTCTCGCTTCTCTATCTGTCCACCTCTCTTTGCCTTAATTTGTCTATTTTTTGTGATGCTGAATTCCAATGCCTTAGCAGTAGCACTTGAAATTAATTGTGTAGCTATTGATAGGGCCTCGACGCTCTCGGCTTCCCCCTTTGTTTGTCTGTTTGTGTGTGATATTTTTTGGCTTTTCCCTGGCTGTTAAATTTAGCTCTTCTTGTGCTTGTCGCTGCTGTTGATTTTTTTCCCGTTCCTCTTCGAATGTGAACGGAAAATTGGGTTTTGCGTGTCGCACGCCACACGCCACTCGCGTTACCATCCACAAAAAAACAGAAACAACAACAACAACCACAAAAACTTCATCAACTTTAACGCGCGGCGCTCATTCATTAAATTTACCTTCTTTCGACTGCTACGGCAACATTTTTTGCTCAGCTGCATCAAGTGTCAAATACAGTTGCTTTTTCTGCCGGCTGGCCCGAGAGATGGCCTAGAGCCAAGTAAATATGCATAATTTATGGGCCTGTAATTGCGAGCGTTCGCCCCGTGGCAAAAATGCTTCTAATGCTTCTGCCTAAATAAATCAAGTGAAAAATTATGCAAAATTCGCCAGCAACAGAAATGGGTCATAAAATTAACGCTTTAAGGACACTGACTGAGTTTTATTTTCAGCAGCTCAACAGAAATCAAAGTCGTGAAAGGAAATCGAGAAACTGATATAAAAAGTAGCTAATTTCTGATGGCTTACAATTTTCTATATTTTCTTGTTAAGTTAGGTTTTGTGATAGTTCAAGTTACTTGGTAATTAGCTATAATTAATTAACTATTAAAATGTCAAAGTTTCGACTTAAAGTTGACGCTAAAGTTTCAGCTCTTTTTTTTGCTACTTTTACGGAACAAATTTTCGCTGAAGATTTTAGAGTTTAAAGCTCTAAATTATGCAGCTGCTTTAGCTATGTTTTAAACACAATTTATACAAACATTTCTTATAAATAAGCATTAAAATACGAGCTCAAGCTGTACAAGGTAATACCCTTTTTCTGACCCAATAAGAGGAGTAGAAAAAGAAATGGCCATAAACCAAAAAGGGTTCAAAGTATTACGTTGCTGCTGGTTTCATTTTGAAGCTACAGCCGTGCCATTAGGCAGGCTTTATCACATCATTCAAAGGGGCGTCTTGGCTTTGCTGGCAGTGATTCCAGCTGAAGCTCTAATTGTGAATGACTCCATGCAGCCTGTGCGAATATTATCCTCGAGCTCTTTGAAAGCGTGCGTGGGGTTTGTTTCCCGTAAATAAAGGGGAAAAAATAAAGCGGAAATACTCAGCGCGTGTTTACGAGAGCTAATTGAAAAGTGTTAGATAACTTATTAGCCAGGTTGGGAGTGAAGGGAGCAACAGCTGTTGTAGTAACATGTTTGATAAAAGTTGATCAAATATGAAATATTGTTCAAAATTTGTACTCATAAATCACATCGATTGTATAAAAAACTGTAGAGCTACATATAGACAAAGAATTAAAATACTTGATTATCAAATCTAAATATAGATGGCAAAAATATTGAATATTTAATTGTTATCGATAGCTTAAGTTCAAGTATGGTTATCGAAAGAAGTATCACTCTTCTAGGTTTACTCCATATAAGAATTCTTCTATTTAAAAACCAATTTTTACTTTATTTAATAAATGTGTCTGGTATATAAGTGTCCAGCTCGATATATTACTTTCACAAATATATTTTATCGATTCCCCCTGTCAATATATTTATCGAAAGTAGTACCCCTTACCCACATTAAATTTCCCTCTTTTTCCACACATAAATTCCACTTAAAATACATAGTTTCTGATTTAAGCTCAGCAGACAGCGCGTTTGACACTTTTTAAGTAATTTATAAAATGTGCTCAACTCTTTTTATAAAATGTCATTAAAATGCAAAAATGCTTAGGCAGCTCTCAAGAGCGTGGCCATAAATGAGAATTTATTTAAAAAATTAGTTTGAGCAAACTTTCGGACCGATGTCAACCGCAGCGCTGATTAGTTTTCCAGCTCGTGTTACAGCCAGCGAGCGTCCTTCATGGACCACTTGCACACATAATACTCAAATTTCTATGGCACACATACACATACACACACACATATACACACACGTGTACTTGTATACATATGTCAGTTAGCTTGGCCATGCGCCCATTTCAATTAGCCGACACCTTTTTGGAGTGGACATGCATGGAACCTAAATGAACTCGACCATGTACTCGAGCAGGTCCACTGACAGAGCGAGATAGAGATAGAGCAAGAGAGAGCGAGAGAACGCCATCGAAAGCCTGCAAATACGACGGGCCAATATCCGTGCGGAAATTAATGTCCTGTGGCCAGCACAATAGTACAAAAAAAAAAAGAACAGCAAAAAAAAAAAAAAACATAATATCAATGTGCAAAAAAAAAAAAAAAAAAATGCTGGCAAAAATAGAGGCGAAGCAACTGAATGCACAATGGCGCTGTCAGCAGTTTCGTAGCAGATAAAAGACCAGCCACGGGCACATAAGCCACAATCCGAAGCCGAGAGCCCACACAGCGCAGCCCGTAACCACATAACCCATTTGGCAATCGAATCGACATATTGAACATGCCCAGACTCAGACCCAGAGCCAACCCAGACCCCGGATTCAGGCTGAAGCCTCAGCCGCAGTCGATGCCTCATCGCTGTTAGTTTATTCATGCATAACCATTTTTTTTTCGCTTTTTTATTCCTTCTTCCCCCTTTGCTATCCTGGTGATATAATCGCCATCAATTATATTGTTCAAACCGTGCATTGTTTTCGCATGACATGACAGTCAAGCCATGGTGCTTGACAATAGCTGACATGTACATATACCTATACAAATATATATATAGTATGTGTATATATATTTATATGTATGTCTCTATTTGTGCTGCATGCATGCAATATTGATGTGAGTGCACTCACCTTTCCATCGGCATCGGAATGAGCGTGATAGCGCACCTCCAATGAGCCGCCGAGGACCGCATACCAAAAGCGTCCTTGTTCGCCAGCGCGAAAAACTAAAGAAGAAGAAGAAGAAGAAGAAGAGCAACAAGAGAAGAAATTGTTATTAAAAAAGAAGAGAAGTGAACTCATTTAATATGTTGTGCACATAATTAATGCTTAAATTTCACTTACGTGTGACGCCCTTCTCCAAGTCCTCGTAGAAGCCGCACATGGCCAACTGCTGCAAGGCTGACCCTGGCAGGCGACAGAGCGGCTCCACGCGTCGCAAGCGACAGGATATTAGTTCCACATCACGTAGGTTGCGATCACAAGGACTGCAATAAAGAAAATGAAAATAAAAGATAAAATAACTTCCAGCAAATAGCACGCAGTGTCAACACAGAACAAATTAAACTCAACTTCAAAAAACAATAAAAATTAAGTTGCTCTTTATATATTTTGGTGCGCTTTTATAGACCACTTACTCAATAAGCAATAACTGAAAAACAATCAATTTTCCTTAATCCACTAGTTAAGTCATTCTATTGGCCATTTAGGTCTAGCTAGAATATGGCCAAAATGCTCTTTTATTTATTTTGCCAACAAATATTCACTTAATTCGCTCAGTAAAAGGAAATGACTATAATGAATAGTAGTGAATAGTAATGAATAGCAATATGAATAGCTTAGAGCCAATGATTTATCATCTAGTAAGCATGAAGCTTTAAATCATATTTATTACAAATGACGCTTAGAAATGTTTGTTATCAAGAAATAAATTGAAAATATTTATTGAAAATGTCAAATGAAAATAATCTCAATAATATTCTAAAAATTTGTATACTTAAGCATATAAATTTATTTATTTATTAGATATTAGCATTGAATAAAAATAAAATTAAAGCCTAAAAAAGCATATATAACTTAAGTATAATATTATTTTATATATCTTTTAAGATTTAATAATAATTGTGTACACCATCTTCTTTATGTAATACATAATAATAAGAAGCCGTTTTCTTATTATTGTTATTGTTATTTATTTATTTTTTAAGATTTAATAATAATTGTGTACACCATCTTCTTTATGTAATACATAATAATAAGAAGCCGTTTTCTTATTATTGTTATTGTTATTTATTTATTTTTTTATTT